GAGAGAATAAGAAGAGAGAGAGAATAGAGAGAATAAGAAGAGAGAGAGAGAATAGAAAGAGAGAGAGAGAATAGAGAGAGAATAAGAGAGAGAGAGAGAATAAGAAAGAGAGAGAGAATAAGAAGAGAGAGAAAATAAGAAAGAGAGAGAGAAGAGAGAGAAGAATAAGAGAGAGAGAGAGAGAAAGAGAGAGAGAGAGAGAGAGAGAGAGAGAGAGAGAGAGAGAGAGAGAGAGAGAGAGAGAGAGAGAGAGAGAGAGAGAGAGAGAGAGAGAGAGAGAGGAGAGAGAGAGAGAGAGAGAGAGAGAGAGAGGTGGGGGAGAGATCGATAGAGAGAGAAAAAATCATGATCTAATGTATTCCCTGGATTATCCATACTCAGCGAATTAGTTTCGTGCTGTTTTTACTTCGCAAATGTCCTCAAGCACCACCACACATATATAGATATTTATGTGTGTGTGATGCGTGCGTGCATGTGTATGTACGTGATGCGTGCGTGATGCGTGTGTGTATGTGTGTGTGTGTGTGTGTGCGTGTGTGCGTGTGTGTGTGTGTGTGTGTGTGTGTGTGTGTGTGTGTGTGTGTTGTGTGTGTGTGTGTGTGTGTGTGTGTGTGTGGTGTGTGTGTGTGTGTGTGTATGTGTGTGTGTGTGTGTGTGTGTGTGTGTGTGTGTGGTGTGTGTGTGTGTGTGTGTGTGTGTGTGTGTGGTGTGTGCGTGCGTGCGTGCGTGCGTGCGTGTGCGTGCGCGGTGTGTGTGTATGTATGTATGTGTCTGAACAGTGTTTATTCTACGCGCATAGGACGATATGTTTGCACGCAAGGCCACGAGTGTGTTTAGCAGTGTGCAAGCACGCATTAATATGCGAGTGTGAGTCAGCGCCGGGATGTATCGCCTCCCTCCCCCCCCCCTCCCTTTCTGCTAGATGTGGACAGTAATGCGAGAGTGAACAAAATTATCAGCACACACGTCTCGCTAAATGTAAGTACCTGTCTCTTGCTTTCGTGCGCTGCTGAGAAAAGGCGGAGAAGGAAGACATGAATAAAAAAAAAATAAATGAGGAACCATCATAAATATATACATATAAATAAATAAACACACACACAAACATATACATATATATCTACACACACACAAACACACACACATATATATTTAACCATATAAGAAGGAGAAAGGGAGAGTGAGCTTGGGAGAAAGCTAAAAGGGAAGAAAGAGGGAGTGTGATGGAAGGTAGAGGAGAGTAAGAGAGAGGAAGCGAGAGTGTGAGTAAGAGGAAGGAAGAGAAGGGGAGAGGGATATATAATATATATATATATATATATATATATATATAATAATATATATATATATATATTATATATTTAACATATATAAGAGAGAGAGAGGTTAATAAAGAGAGAGCAAGAGAGAGAGACTGATAAAGCGAGAGCGAGAGAGAGAGAGAGACAGAATGAAAGAGAGAGCATAAAAAGCGAGAGCGAATAAAAGCGAGAGGAACACGGCTCTTGCACGGCCCGGCCGGCTGAATGCCCATTGCATTTTGTATGCGATTAGAATACCATTTCCGCTTCCCATGAGACGAAAGGCAGCGGTGCAGAATCCGCATCTTGTGCCGCGAGTATAAGAACAGATGTCTTCTCGTCCCGGCGAGGTGAGCAATGACCCAAATGTCTTGTTTTATTAGTATCGGGATTGTGAAATATTTTACATCACTGTCATTTTTAATTATGATTGCCAGTAACAGATTTTGTTCACATCTTTTTCATTATTTCTTTTTTATCTGCTACTACTACTTTTATTTTTTCTCCTTTTTCTTTTTCTTTCCTTTTTTCTTCTCAATTTTACAGATGCTCCTCAACCTCTTATCTATAGATAATAAAACTGCATTTGGATATCCATATCCTTCTGTATATCGGCCCGTTCTGTCATCTCCGTTTTCATGTTTGTGGCCCTCGCAACTCCTCAAATATTTGCCCTTTCGATGGCCACGCCAAGCCCTCCTTCTCCTCACTGGCTCCTCCCCCTCACTTCTGCCTCTTTCCCACACACACAGATATGTATGTATGTGTGCGTTGTGTATACATAACGTATAAATATACTTATGTATATATGTACATATATATATATATATATATATATATATATATATATATATATATATATATATATATATATATATATGTATATACACACACATACTGTGATATGATAATAGCATAACGATGAGGACAAAACAGGTGCTCATTCATGTGTGTCACAGTCCACGCACCGTGAATAATGAGCAATATTTTCTATTGAAGTGGTGATGAGATGTTTATTTTTTACATTCTGAATAATAATTAATCTGGCAAATCAGCTTTCTGTCCCGCCGGCAGAGGGCGCCGTTAAGCACGACCTCCCTCAGATCATCGCTGTCAGTCTTGCGAGATTAATTTTGACAATAAAATGATAGAGAATAATAACAAAAATATATGACAATAATAATCGGACTAAAGATAGACACGAAGACAAAGACTCAGCCTCACGGACCAAATATTCCAAACTCAGCCTTACGGACCAAATATTCCAAAGACTCAGCCTCAAATATTCCAAAGACTCCAAGGGCTGGGGATCCAAGCGCCCGCCCAAGCAAGCACGCTCGCCCCCCCCCCCCACGCCACCCCAGCACGCAAACCAGAGCCATTCCCCAAACTGAGCCAGCGCCAAGACCCCGAAGCGTCCTCCGAGGGCAGGGAGTCCTCGCCGCCCGACGTCCCTCGGCAGCCACGCGAACCGGAGTGTCTTTAGGAACCGCAGATCCCCGAACGCACTCGTGACGCAACCTGATGGAGGCCGGCTAAGGGGGGGGGGGGGTGCGAGTTCGGCCATTACCTAATTGCTTTAGTCGCTCATTGATTATCCAATTTGGTGAGTTCTGCCACCGTCCATGGCCCGCGGCGGATCAGCGGGTCGTAATGATAGCGCGACGAAGAGGAGGCTTACTTTTGCTTTTATTATTTTTCATCTATTTTTTTTCATTCGTTTTGGCATTTTTTCCCATAATGATAGCGCGACGAAGAGGCTTACTTTTATTATTTTTTTTTTATTTAATTTTTAAAATCGTTTTGGCATTTTTTGCGTAATGATAGCGTGACGTAGTTCAGCCTTACTTTTAGTTTGTTATTATTTATCTTACTTCTTGTTCGCTTTGGCATCTTTTTCGTAATGATAGCGTGACGTAATTCAGCCTTACTTTTAGGTATTTTTATCTCATTTTTTTGCTCATTTTGGCATCTTTTTCCTTTGTTTTAATCGTAATTCCCTCTTTTCGATTTCTTTTACACGGCTTGAAACCCACGCGCTTTGTTCATGTCCTTTGTCACACCATTGTTTTTTTTCTTTTTTTATTTGACTCGCAATTTATAATCCTTCCTGCGGGTTTTCACTTCGGTTAATTAAACATTGTTACCATATCCGACGCTACCTTTTATGCGTCCATTAATTACTTTCAAATGAGCGGCCGAGAAGGAAGAGCTTAATTAAGCGCGCATAAAAAATATTGGCATAATAGTCGATCTTTCTATATCCATCTATCTATTCATCTATCGATCTTCATATCTTTTTGTCTGAATATTCCTCTTGCCTTCTATCCACCTGTTTATCCTCACTGTCTCTCTGTCCGCCCATCATTCAATTTTTCTTTCTCCCTCTGTATGTATCATTAAACTTTTTATCCGTCAACTTATCTATCTGTATTTCTATGCGTTTATACGTATCGCTGTATGTATGTTCGTGTGTATGTATGTATGTATGTTGTATGTATGTATATATGTATGTGTTTATATACGCATTTAAGTGTATATGTATGTATTTATGTAACTATATGCTTGTATGCGCGTATATATGCATATATGTATGTATTTACGTAAATATGCATGTATATTTGTATTTAAGTGTGTGTTAATCTATGAATTCATGTATATAAATGTGGGCTTATATATACGTACGCATGTATGATTAACATGTGTATGTATGCATCTAGATGTGTATATATGTATGCATGTATGTATACACGCATGTATGTATGCATGTATGTATGCTTCTAAGTGTGTATGAATGTTTTTGCATATATATGCATGCATATATATATGTTCATAAGTATGTATATTAATGTATAATATATATATATATATTTATATATATATAATATATTATATATGAAAGATGGAAATAATGCACTACCGCATTCATATCATGAATATATGTATGTATGTATATGTGTGGGTGGGTGTCTCATACATACATATATATATATATATTATATATATTATATATATATATATATAATATATATATATATATATATAGAGAGAGAGAGAGAGAGAGAGAGAGAGAGAGAGAGGAGAGAGAGAGAGAGAGAGAGAGAGAGAGAGAGAGAGAGAGAGAGAGAGAGAGAGAGAGAGAGAGAGAGAGAGAGAGAGAGAGAGAGAGAGAGAGAGAGAGAGAGAGAGGAGAGAGAGAGAGAGAGAGAGGAGAGAGAGAGAGACGAGAGAGAGAGAAGAGAGAGAGAGGAGAGAGAGAGAAATATGTTTAGGATGAAACAGACATATGGATCATCCTTCACGCGCGACGAAGTCCCGGATGAAGTTCCCGGCCTAACAGTCAAGGCTCCCGTGCCCGAGTTCATTCCTTTCTCTTGCCTTTTCGTAAACTGCTTCCACTTACCCTTACCTATATCGCAATGCGTCATTTTTTTTTTTTAACTTTTAGGTCAAAGGTCAGAAGATGCCTGACTGACCTAGTTCCTCACAGCGTCTCTTCTTGGTCAAAGGGCATTCCGGGTCGCTCGCTTGCACGTCGACTTGCGAACGTGTACCCTTTCAAACGGCGTGAGCTGAGTGAACACAAACTGTTTTTGATAATGCGATCTTCCCCGAAGGCGTCGTGTAGCTCGATCTTTTTCTGTATATGTATATTTTTTCTTCTTCTTTCTCACAAAAGGTCAAGGGGTTAAAGGTCAGCTAGATGAACAGGAGACAAGGTGACCGCAGGCGAGTGATGGGCGGCCGCGAAGGGATGGTTCGAGGAGCCGAGACCCGGAAACTGTGAGGAATTATTCAAAGCTCGATGTGTGGCTGGGGATGAAGGTGAGGGTGTTGGGATGAAGGTGTTGGGATGAGGGTGTTGGGGTGAGGGTGTTGGGGTGAGGGTTTTGGGGTGAGGGTGTTGGGGTGAGGGTGTTGGGGTGAGGGTTTGGGTGAGGGTGTTGGGGTGAGGGTTTTTGGGTGGGTTTTGGGTGAGGGTGTTGGGGGTGTGTGGGGTGAGGGTTTTGGGGTGAGGTGGGGTGAGGGTTTTGGGGTGGGTGTTGGGGTTGGGGTGGGGTTGTGTGGGGTGAGGGTGTTGGGGTGAGGGTGTTGGGTGAGGGTGTTGGGGTGAAGGTGATGGGATGAGGTGTAAGGGTGTCGGGGTAAGGTGTCGGGGTGTGAGTGCCGGGGTGAGGGTGTCGGGTGTGAGTGTGGGGTAAGGGTGTCGGGGTGTGAGTGTCGGGGTGAGGGTGTCGGGGTGGAGTGTCGTGTGTGAGGTGAGATTATCGGGGTGAGGGTGTCGGGGTGAGGGTGTCGGGGTGTGAGTGTCGGGGTGAGGGTGTCGGGTGAGGGTGTGTCGGGTGGGTGTGTGTGTAGTGTCGGGGTGTGAGTGTCGGGGTGAGGTGTCGGGGTGTGAGTGTCGGGGTGAGGTGTCGTGTGAGTGTCGGGTGAGTGTCGGGGTGTGAGTGTCGGGGTGAGGGTGTCGGGTGAGTGTCGGTGAGGGTGTCGGGTGTGAGTGTCGGGTAGTGAGTGAGTGTCGGGTGTGGTGTGTGAGTGTCGTGAGTGTCGGGGTGAGAGTGTCGGGGTGTGAGTGTCGGGGTGAGGGTGTCGGGGTGTGAGTGTCGGGGTGAGGGTGTCGGGGTGTGGTGTCGGGGTGAGGGTGTCGGGTGTGAGTGTCGGGGTGAGGGTGTCGGGTGTGGTGAGTGTCGGGTGAGGGTTGTGGGTGTGAGTGTCGGGGTGAGTGTCGGGTGAGTGTCGGGGTGTGAGTGTCGGGGTGAGGTGTGGGGTGTGGTGTCGGGGTGAGTGAGTGTCGGGGTGAGGGTGTCGGGGTGTGAGTGCGGGGTGAAGTGTGTCGGGGTAGGGTGTTGGGGTGTGAGTCGGGGTGAGGGTGTCGGGGTGTGAGTGTCGGGTGAGGTGGGGGTGAGGGGTCGGGGTGAGGGTGTCGGGGTGTGGAGTGTCGGGGATGAGGGTGGGGGTGAGGTGTTTGGGGTGTGAGTGTCGGGGTGAGGGTGTCGGGGTGTGAGTGTCGGGTGAGGGTGTCGGGTGAGGGTGTCGGGGGTGAGTCGGGGTGTCGGGGTGTGAGTGAGGGTCGGGGTGAGGGTGGTCGGGGTGAGGGTGTCGGGGTGTGAGTGTCGGGGTGTGAGTGTCGGGGTGAGGGTGTCGGGGTGTGAGTGTCGGGGGTGAGGTGTGTGTGGGGTGTGAGTGTCGGGGTGAGGGTGTTCGGGGTGAGGGTGTCGGGGTGAGGGTGTCGGGGTGAGGGTGTCGGGGTGTGAGTGTCGGGGTGTGAGGTCGGGGTGAGGGTGTCGGGGTGTGAGTGCCGGGGTGAGGGTGTCGGGGTTGTGAGTGTCGGGGTGAGGGTGTCGGGTGAGAGGTGTCGGGGTGAGGGTGTCGGGGTGAGGGTGTTGGGTGTGAGTGTCGGGGTGAGGGTGTCGGGGTGAGGGTGTTTGGGGTGTGAGTGTCGGGGTGAGGGTGTCGGGGTGATGTCGGGGATGAGGGTGTCGGGGTGAGGTGTCGGGGTGGGTCGGGGTGAGGGTGTCGGGTGAGGTGGGGTGAAGTGTGAGTGTCGGGGTGAGGTGGTGTGAGGGTGTCGGGGTGAGGGTGGGGTGTGGTGTCGGGTGAGGGTGTCGTCGGGGTGGGTGTCGGGTGAGTCGGGTGAGGGTGTTCGGGGTGTGATGTCGGGGTGAGGGTGTTGGGGTGAGAGTGTCGGGGTGAGGGGGTGAGTGTCAGAGGGGTCTGTGAGTGGTGTCGGTGAGAGTTCGGGGTGAGGTGTCGGGGTGAGTGAGTGCCGGGGTGAGGGTGTCGGGTGGTGTGTGTGAGTGTCGGGGTGAGAGTGTCGGGGTGAGGGTGATGGGATGAAATCATTAGATGAGGTGTGTTAAAACTTGAGGTTTTGGGATGAGGGTGTCAGGATTAAGGCATTTGGATGAGGGTGTCGAGATGAGTTTTAGGATTAGGGTGTTAGGATGAGGATATGAGGATAAGGCTGTTATGGTTAGGATGTCTGGATGAGGGTGTTAGGATTAGAGTGATAGGGTGAGAGACTTTAGCATGAGAGTTGTTACAAATAGACGGTCATGAAAAGTGTTAAGATAAACACGGTAGGATGAGGGTGGAGGTGAGGGCCACGAAATAAGGAGATGAGAAAAAGAAAGAGATGAGGGGAGGAATCAGTGTAAACATTTAGGGGCGAAATGCGATGGCCAGAGGAGCCAACGCTGCTTAGGCGAGATGAAAAGAGTTCCAACACTCGGCAAAATAAACAAAAATCACGTATTCTTTGATGCCTTAATCGCGTCTCATCAGACTAGCAAATGCAATTCCAATCCACCCTGGAGTCAAAGGTGCATTCGCGATTAACGCGAAGGGCCGTGATTAATAAGGGTTTGCTTCAGGGAGAGGGATTAGCCAGTCCGAATCGAAGCCTTTCATAACTGCCTCTTTTGCAATGGTGATTGAAGCGCGATGGCATTCCCGCCGCTGCTTTGCAAGGGCCGGGGCAGCGCGGAAGTTTATTTTCGCGGGGAAATCGGGCTGCTGTCTCGAATCGAAGAGGAAAACGGGTCGCTGCAGAACGAAGGAGAAAATGGCTTGGCTTTATAGCAAAAGGAAAATCCGTTTGCTCGAAGCGAACAAGTCATAACTTGGTGTTTATTATCCATAAAACTGTTGTAACGCTCACTGACGCCCGTAGCCTTCACCTTTGCTTATTATCACTTCTTGTGTTACGCATATTTCAGAGTAAATGCGTGCTCATAGGCGAGGCCTGCCCGCGCTTAGTCTGAAATCATCATCAACGAATTTCATCCCTGCTTATTAGTTTGGACTGTCTCTGCGAATCTTTGTCTAAATCTCATAAATATCCGCGTAAATCTACACATAAACACACGAAGATGTACACACGCATTTTCTACAAGCACTCAGCTTTGCAGGCAATATCTTGTGTCATATATTAGGTGATAACTCTCAGAGAAGCAGCAATAAAGGTACAATTCATATAAGAAGGTGGACAGCAATGCCTCTAAAAATACAACCCGAAACTGCATCCTTAGGCATGCGACATATTTACCTTGACGGCGGAGGGTACTGTCAAGGCGCGTCTCCTCCGCCGGCCTGAAGGTCCTGCCGAGATGCTTTTCGTTACAGGTGAAGGAGGTGGAGAAAAGGCTGTGGAGAGAATAAGGGCCGTTAAGGAAGGGAAGGAAATGGAGGAGATAAAAGATGGAGGCGATACACGTTGCTATTTTTTTCTTTATGATTCACGAGCTTTTATTTATAGGGCGTCAACACTTGGTGCCGACAGGTCCTTTTTATCTTTTACTGATTTATTCCCTGAGATGAGCCCCAGCTGGTCGTCTCAGCATTTGTCTGACTGCGAGTGAGTTTAATTCCAAATCGTAATTAAACGTAACGTCACGGCCATTACAGTGATCCTTCCCTATCCTTCGATTTGGCGATATTGTAGAAATGCCAAGTCAAGACGTCTTGTTTATCTATTCAAAGGACCTCAGGGACTGCGGAAGCCGTTACCTCGATGAGCAGTTTTATGGAACGGCCGCCAGCGCCGTGGCTGTAGCGCGCAACAAAATTTTTGATTGGACAATGGAACATTCTCAGCGGGAATGAAGGTATTAGGCGAGCTGTTAGGAAGATGGCGCTCCTCCTCGGGTTCAGATTCCGCTAACAAAAGAGCAGCGGGAATGCGCGCTGACGCCCCTTTCGCGCGGGAAATTGCCTTTTGGAGGGATATTCTTGTGTATTTGCCCTACGGCTGCCTATGATTATGTCGGTGTTGCATGGCTTCTTGCTCTACTCCAGAACAAAACAAAAATAAGAAAAGGCAAATAGAATGATATAAAGGAAAGGGGGAAATGGAAGCATCTAGGAAGGTAGATTGTTTATACATACACACAAATATATGTGCATACACATACACACACATGTATATATATACATTTACATATATATATGTATATACATATATATATGTATATATATATTATATATACATATATATGCATATATATATATATATATATATATATATATATATATATATATATATATATATATATATAATATATATATATATATATATATATATATATATATATATATATATATATATATATATATATATATATATATATATATATATATATATACATACTTGTGTCCTTCACATACTTTACACCTAGTTATGGACTGCTGGAGGTCATGTTATCTCAAAGCATCATCACACCAATGTCTCCTCGCAGTAATTCCCGCGTGACTGAAATGAGGTTGCAACGACGGTGACTTTCCCGCCCCTTAGCGAGCCGACGGGAAACACCCAGGCCGAGTGTCAGGACGGACCAGCTTCGAGCCTTAACGTTGTTGAATCAGTGTTTGTGCGTCGTTGATCATGGATTCATAGGAAATATTACTATTTAATAGGCTTTGTAATAACGACTTCATACTGACGTGCTCTGGCACTTCTACTCCCTTAGACGCCACCTTTCTTAAAGAGAAAATGAAAATTATGGGTTACTGGGTCACAAAATGTCCGACTAGGATAAATTATTTGTTATTTCGTCTACTCATTTGGACAATTACCTTATTACATATGACCTAAATATCAATACCATGTTTGAAAGCTAAAATAACGAATTTATTTTAAAAAAATATTTAGCAGGATTTTACTTTAAGACACACTGAAACCATGTTTTGTACTATCACTTGTATTGAACAGTGAGTGTAGGTGTTGCTACTGGAAGTCGCCTTCGAATGTGTATCAATTCAATGAAAATATGAAGATTTTCTCTATAGATGTGATGACAGCAACTTTTGTGCGATTTAAATCGTGTTTTGTCCGAGGGAGCATCCCCTCATCCTGCGCAAGGACTTTTCAATTTTCATTCTCACCAACCATGCTGACAATCTTCAATTCTCCAAGTTGCTCTTCTGGTAATGACAAAAACAAAGACAAAGAAAGCTGCTCAAGAACTCAAAGGCCAATATGGAGGATATTTGTTGAAATCTTGCCTTTAAAATATTTCAACGAACATCCCCTTGCAATAAGCATAATTGGAGTGAAAAAATAAGATAAAACGTACACAATTCTGAAAGAGAGATTATTGATTAAAGAGAAAAGTAAATCAAAGAAATAAATAAATAACCGACGGATGAAGCAGAAAAAAATTGATTACCTTTTTGGAAGAAATGGGTCTTGCACTGATCCTTAATCTATGTCCAAAACATTTAAATCTTTATTAGGGCTGTTTCCAAACACTCTGAAGAATTGCATAGCCCTTTGCATGACTTCAAAAGACATTTGTTAAGTTACTGACTCGTTCATAGCACCAACAGCCAAGCAAGAATATAGTTGCCCATTTCTTCTATACTTATTATTATTTCGCAACCGCATACTCCTAGATGACAGCGAAAGTTATACCAATATTTAAGTCTAATGACAGAAAACTGATCTCAACAACCATCCAAGTTCCCATTCCCTTTGTAAATTTCTCGAGAAACTAGCATGCATAGTTATAGCCAAAGCTTTTTCTGATCTCCAATATCTTTGGAACAGATTCAAGTGTAATGGGATAAGAGGCATGACACTTGCATGGTTCAAATATGACAAGCAAAAACAAGTCGTAACATATCATAATCATAAATCATCTTTATCAATAATCCAATGCAGAGTACTCTAGGATCTTATTGTTGGTCCTCTCTTACACACATGTAAGGACCGTATGCACTCTAGTGACATTCTAAATTATATTTCATTTGTGGGGGCAACCTTTCTTCAACCAGACAAATGACAGTTGTATTTATACTGTTTGCTAAAACCTCAGAGAGCCGGAAGTCGGTAGCTGAATGATAACCTCACTCTGTGAAAATAACATTGTTATTTTTAGTCGTAAACAGAACAGGACATATTGCGTCCCTCATAGTATATTAGTCAAACATATTGAATCGTTTAAGTGGTACAACCTAAATGTCTTGATATTTTGCATGTTGTTATTAGACTCTTACACTCTTGTATATCACAGATTGCAGATAAATATTTTGAAGATGAACACTGAAAACAGTTTCACATTAACTGGTATGAAAGTCAAATTCTTTTGGAGTATTCAATTATCTTGTCAAATTCTATTATAGCGATATATCGGAAACACGCTTTATTTGACAGATTTTTTCATCATGAAGTATATAATCGTGTTTTTCACGTCTTGTTTCAGCTTGGGTCAAATTTACCGTAAACGAAAGTAGTACAAAACTAAATTTGCTATCGTTTGAACTGCTATTATGTATATGTATGTTTCACTCTCTCTCTCTACCTGTATATCTATATAAAGGCACAAAATAACCACGCAACTCTTTTAGCTTTACTCCTGAACGGCTTTTGGTATTCAAATATGGCAAGTATACGACTAGTGTTAGATAGGCTTTTAGGGTACCCCCCCCCCCCCCACCTAAAGAAAAAGAATATCAAATTCCCTAAATGACCATGTTAAGACCCCAATGAAAATTCCATCCTGTAAATTATTTACTCTTAGTTGAACTTTTCTAAATTGCCTAAAATTATCTCATGTCAAGTGCTCTTTGTATTTTTTTTAAACCGATGTATACGTATATACGAATTTAGTTCAGCAACTAAATTCCAATTTTGAACGTTCTCATTATTTTCATACATATGGTAGTATACGTGAAAAAGTGATCTATAACATAATTAACCTATTTAACAAAGCTTTGGGTTTAAAGTGATATTGCTCTTGTCTGTCCATAGGTTAAACTGCAAGGACTATGGTGTCCACCATATCATCTGTAAACAAAATTGAGAATCGTACTCACCAACAACTCATTGATTTCTGTGAAGGGAAGAGGAAAGAGAATGTATTACAGTGCGGGATTGGATATGTTATTTTCCTGTCTTATGTGATTGAAGGCCAGTCCTTCATTTCTTCAGACTGTACGTATCCATACACTAACAAACTAAACATATATCTATAACACACACACACACTGAGTGCAGCGCCGCACATCATTGCAGTACATCTCTTACAAGTTGTTAAATGCAGAGAATCGGGCAATGGGCGGTCTAGTTTGCTAGTCAGGTCGAGTGTGCAAAGTCCAGGTATTATTATAAATGAAACCTAACACCGAAACTAAAGAATCTGAGTTTACCAGGTAGTATAACACATCATTCTATTAAAGTTGTGTTTTATATTATTTTCTTCGCAAATTGATAATTACAGTATTAGGAAAGGTAATGATTCCACCATTTCCAGAAGCCATGACCTACCGCCTCCAGAGCCGCGACAAAATGACATAAAATTCGTTAAAACCGAGGGAAAATCTAACGGATTTGTAGCGGGTTACGTATACGAGGGAAATCAAATGAGCCAATTACATTCGTGCGTGAACGTGACGTAACCATAAGCAATGACGTTTACCTTAATAGAACCAATCGGATATTAAATAGATCATCACGTGATAATAGACGCTGGGCCTAGAAGGCGGCAGTTGAAATTCAAATCAGTTCTATTATGGCTAGGCAGTGTGTAGGGTGTGAGGATTAAGTTTTTCGATTTCATCACGAGATATGAGATATTATCGAAAAAAACGACACAAGATTATTATACATGTGAAATCACGTTGTACTGTCAGCGGAAGTATAGTTACTGAACTGCAAGACACCGTATCATTACAGAAAATTAACAAATTCTATCGTTTATTCATCACTGACTA